GATCTGAGTCTCCCACGTGAGTGACAGGCCCAGGCTTGTGGCACACTCTCCACTGCTTTTCCAGCTGCATTAATAGGCAGCTAGATTGGAAGCAAAGCTTCTAATGTGGGATAGCCTCTGATATGGGACATCAACACCATCGGAGTTGGTTTAACCTGTGCTGCCCCCACACTTTACTAATATTTTGCTGGAGGTTTTTGCATCTATGTTTTTGAGGGATATAGTCCATAGTTTTGTTTCTTATGCCACATTGGTCTGATTTTAGGATCAGAATAATTCTGCCTCATAAAATGAATTGGGAATTCTTCTTATTTCTGAAAAAGTATATAGAGTTGGTGCTAGGTATATTTTAAAAGTTCGATGGATTTTTTTTTTCCCTTGAAGAAGGATTGTCTAAGCTTCAGGCCCCACAAAGCCTGGACTCACTCACCTGGGGACCAGAGGGTGAGTTGCTCTCCATGGTTACAAATGACCACAGACCGTGCCCCCCCACCTTCTGAGCATGCCACAGGAAGCCGCCAGGGAGGGCAGGCCCCAACAGGTGAACACCCTCAGCCTGCTGCACCTTGCACAAATCATGACTCTTTTATCCCAGCTGATCAAGCATAGAGCTCTAGCCCACTCGCCAGGGCACCACAGATAGGCAAGACTTTGCTGATATGCCTGGTCCATGGTTGGCTGTGTGACTTCAAGGAAGTTACCTAGCCTCTCTGAGTCAGTTTCAGATGAGAGGGTGACAGCCAGGTCTCCCTGAATGTGCTCAGAGCGCTAGAGAACACTCCTGGAGGCAGGCATGGAGGAGCCTCTCCAAGTTTCTCTTGCGGTTCACAGGGAAGTGCAGGCAGGGGAATTGGGACCAGCTGCAGAAAAGGGCTGGAGACCCCCTCTACTCCCCTCGCCCCAGGGGCTGCCACCTGCACCAGGACTTCCGACCTCCCCTGGTGGAGGCACGTTTTCAGCCATCTGTTCAGCACATCCTGGGACCCCACCCTGCACGAGGCGATTCGTGGATAAGTAAGGGTACCACCCTCTGGAAGTGACTCGCCCAAGGTCACTCCATCCTGCAGACTTGAATCTAGGCCCAGCTTGTCTGCAGAGTTAACAACACGATAACGCGAGGCGTTCGCTCGCATCCCCATGCATTTCATACTCCAGTGCTCTTGGGGTGGGGGTGTAGGGGAGAAGAGGTTGACTAGAGGTGTCGCAAGACATCCCTGCCAAGCGGATGTCTTCCCTTCCGAATCACCTTCCGAGTCGGGGTGAGAGCCTGATGCAGGCTGCCAGGGACGGAAAAAGTAGGGGAACGTGGCAGCCAAGCTGGTGTTACCGCCGCACCAAACCTCGCCCGCCGCCACCCCCTGCTCCGCCCCGCACTGTCGCATAGGAGGGCGCCCGCCTTTACGAATGAGATCACCGGCGTGGAGTGCATCCTCCCTGCAAGGCTTAGGGGCTGGCGCCACCGTGTGGCCGCGGGCTGTCTTTGCAAGCGCTGCAGCTAGTGAGGCGGCCTCCGCCGATGTCACCCAGACCAAAGGAAGCTGGACAGGTCCCAGGGAGCCAGGGAGAGGCGCAGCGGTCCCGCCCCGCCCCGGGGTGCTTCTATGGCTGCTCCTTAACGCCTTGGAGTAGGAATGCCTGGGGAAGTCCAGAGCTCTGAGGATGGCAGCAGGTGTTAAGGGGCATGAGCAAGGTGAGAGGGTCTGAGGCCTCTTGTGCTTTATCCGGCTCTGCCCGTTCGGCTCCTTCAGTGAGCAAGACAAGTCAGTGCCCTTCCTAGTGTCAAGGTCCTTGCCCATAAAGTTGGGGGGGGGGCGGTGAGGCTGGGACTAGGTTAGGATCTAAACCTAGTGAGACAGAAAACCAGTTCCCCTCCCTCAGCTTCTGGAACCCCAAGGGACTAAAGGAGTGAAGAGGAGGGTGTGGGAACAAGCAAGGGAGCAGAGTAGGTCTGGCCTGGTGTGGGGAGCCCCAGATTCCTCAGCTGCTGCTGTAGGACACCCACAGCTGACTGTGCTCACCACCAGCCTGCACCCTTCCTCCCCTTGGCATCGCCTCCATACCAGCTTCTCTGGGCACACTCAGCATGTGCTGGGCTCAGTGGCTTCCTTTGCACTTGTGGCTGTTGAGCTGGGAATGTGGGATGCTAACAGAGCCTGGGGGAGGGGAAGGACAGGACAGACCTAGGTGAGTTTGAGTCTTGGCTTGAAGTTGGCCTTGCAGTGACTGCAGCGTGGGGCTGCTCGGAAGGCTGGGTGAGACAGAGGCAGTGGTCAGAGTGTAGCTCTGAGAGGCAGGCCATCGGTCCTCTAGTTCCCAGTGTGAGTCTGCGGCCCAAGGCTTTGTGTGCTGCAGGTACCACCTGCAGGGGACAGCAGCCATTGTCCTGGGCACATGGATGTGCTGGGTGCCATTGACCTGCCTAGCCAGCACATCCTTGTCCCCCCTCACTCAGCCTTTCCTCCACCTGTCATGTGAGGTCTAGCCCCTGTAGCTCCCTAAATCACCTATATCCATGTCAGGGCCCCTCACCTCTTCCAGCTGGGCTCCTGCTTCATGCCCCAGCTGCTGTGACACTTCCTGCCGTGCCTGTCCCTTCTCTCTGTCTGCATCTCCATGTCTGTATGTCTGTGTCTATGTGCCTGTGTCTCTGAGTCGCACTCTCCCCTCTGTTTCTGTGTCTCCATCTCTGTGCATCTCCCCTGGTCTACCTCTTTCTCTGTTTCTAAGTTTCTCTCCTTTGCTCTGTCTCTCTCTGCCTCCCAAGCTCTCTCTCGGTGGCTTTGTAAGTCAGGTAGGGCCAGCTCCCCTCCTTTTCTGCCTGGTTCTCAGTTTCTTTCCCCACCTGATTCTCAGATAGGGACTCCCCCCGAAAAAGGCAAGAACTTCTGGGAAGTGCCCTCAGCTCACAGAACTGAAGCCTTAGTTTTCTCCACGGGTCTGATGCCGACACAGATCTAACCTGTGGGGTGACCATGATCTGGCTCATCTGGAAGTCCTGGCCCTGGGTCTGGCACACACCCACACCTTGCCTACCCCTGCCTGCTGGTGCTGCCACAATGGTGCCTCCTTTTACTTCTCGGTAGGAGCATGTGCTGCTTCTATCCAGGGGTATACCTGTAAAAGTTTCTTAGTAATCTGGAGAGAGCTGTGTTGTTATTCCCCAGACAACCAGTTGGGGGCACACTCTTGCTCACCTGATCATTCTGAGGTCACACCAAGGCCTGGTGGGGTTGCATGTCCTAGTGTACAGTGGAATGGAACCTGGAGCTCCTGTCCATCAGAGGTCAGTCCATCACGGGCATCCTGGAGTCATATAGCCCACCACCTACTTTGTGACGGGAGAAGAGTGTGTGCTTTACAGTTCTAAATTCTTCAGCAGACATCTGCTTTCAGGTGCTGGCGTCTAGTGCCCGATTGCCTGTATGGTACCTATAAAAGACTTCACGCCATGCCCCAAATCTCCCATAGCCCCTTTAATTCCCCCTGTGATGCATTTCAAGAACTCAATGCCAGCCTGGGCAGGACTGCCTTCAGTGTGCTAGGATAGCATTGTCCATCCACGCTCAGCCCTGGAGGACAGGGGTCTGGCTCTGATCCACTTACTCCCTGGACACATGCCCCCTGCAGGTCTGCCGCATGCCAGGAACTGACTTAGGCACCGGGGCCATGCGCAGACCCCTGCTGACAGGTGCTGCAGAGAAAGAGGGAAAAGACAGGAGACAGAGATGGGAGCGGGGGCTCAAGGGCTAGCAGGACCTGAGCCATGGGAAGGCAGCTTTGGGAGTGTGGGAAGAAGGGAGAGAGACACAGCTGCATGCATGATATTTTGCAAAGCACTTCAGTTGCCACATGGGCTCAGCGAGGGGGTGGGTGATATCCTTGGGGGGCAAGAGTGGACAGTGGGAAACAGCGAGGAAGCTCCTGCATCCCCGCAGTTGGGAGGGGTGGTGGCTGGGACTAGGCCAGCAATAGCAGTGGGGACACAGTGTCCACCCAGCAGCACTGGGGGTTGGGCTAAGGCGGGGGTCAGCCACGCACTCCTTCTGGCTGAGTCAGACCAGACCAATTGGAAGCCACAGTGTTGTGCGTAGAACGGGCATTTCCAGGGTCGGACAGGCTCACTCCCTTGGGTCAGAGTGCCCAGTTGATGGTTCATGCTCTCGCTTCTACCTGGGCTCATGCTCCTAGGTCACTGGCAGGCTGTTGGAGGTACCCTGCATCCTCCTCTTATCTGTGGCTCAGAGACACAGCTAAGGGTTTAGGGGTGCCCACTCTCTGAGCTCTCACTAATTTCCCTTCCCATTCTGTAAGGTGCCCCCCTGAAGAAAAGAAGCCGGGACCTGGGCTAGGAATGACTAGTTCAAGGCCCCAAGATTAGTAAGGTGGACTCACTAGCCTTGCACTCCTCCTATGGCTGTTTGCTTGGCCCCTGAACCTCTTAGAAGTGGGGCTACTGGGTGTGGTTCTGAGAGGGGGTGCTGGTGGAGTTATAGCTGTACCCTGAGTTGCACCTGGTCAGGGCCTCCTTGGGGCTTTAGCCTTGCTGGCCAGTGAAGTGGCCTTCTGGAACCCAGCTATTCCTTGCCTGCCATGCCTAAGGACTATACCTAAGTGTGCCCAGCCCACGGGTGGCGCTTATCAGGGGCCTCATAGGGGTTTATTTCCCTCCTCGGGAACACCTGAGCTGGCAGCCCTACTAGTGTGCCCCTCCTGTCGCTGGTGCCCCAGGACCCTTGTCCAGAGCTCCCCTGAGATGCTCACCTAGTGGGTTCCAGGCAGAGCTGCCCTTCACCTGCTCATTTTTGCAGAGGCTAAGCAAGTAGAGGCCAGGAAGGGCAGCCCTCACTGGGGGCCCATCCCTAGCTTCAGTACCCTGTCCTCTGGGCACTCTATGATACAGGTAGAGGAGTGGGAGCTGGGGACAGGATGTGGGCAGGTCTGGGTTTTTAGCGAGCAGGCACTCCCCCACCCACACTGTGTTGTACCTGTGTCTCCGGCAGGTATATCCGCACTATGTACCTGGGGATTCAGAGCCGGCGGCAGAAGGAACACCAGCGACGCTTCTACTGGGCTATGATGTACGAATATGCAGACGTCAACATGCTGCGCCTCCTTGAAACATTCCTGGAGAGCGCTCCCCAACTGGTGCTACAGCTCTGCATAATGATCCAGAAGAACAGTGCCGAGACGCTGCCCTGTGAGTGCTGCCCCGGGCCCCTGCCCCAGTCACGCCCTGTTCTCTGCAGGCCCCTGGTCAAAGCCAAGGCCCCCCGCAACCTCCTCTCCCCACGGGGCTAGCCTCATTCCTTGGGCACTGACCCAGCCTGGGTGTTGGCGAGTCTGTGGGACCAAGAGAACAGTAGCTGTAGCCATTGGGAACCGTGGTGGCTTGCTTCTATCCCAGCCATGGCAGATGGCCAGGCTGTTGAGGAGGCTACTGTAACTGCAGAGTTAGGCAGGGTGGAGGGGTCTGGAGCCTACACACCCAGCCACCCACCAGCCTGCACAACCCCTTTGGGCCCATGTAGCCCTAGAGGTTGCCCAGAGCACAGCTCAGATATCAGCGATCTCTGTGCATGGGCAGGTTTCTGCAAGCAAGGCTTGAAAATGCAAGTAAAGGCTGAGCCTCACACCAGGGAGGAGAAGGCCCCAGCAGCCTGCTAATTCCATGTCACACCTTGCAATACCTTCCAGATGCTGGATCTAGGGTGGGGAGAGGCCAGAAATGATGATGTCTAGTGTGTGTCGGGGGTTGGGGGGAGCACCCGGGGTGCATGACTCCAGACACCACAAGAGACATCTTGGGGAAGAAGCACAGAATGTAAGGGTGAGGAGGCTACAGGGAGACAGCACCATTACAGCAGGTGGGTTCAGCTCTATCCAGCAAGGTGTAGACTGCCTCAGGAAAGGGCTTAACCCCAGAGCCTGTGGTGTCATCTGGGAGAGCAAGACAGCCAGCTCTCACTGGCCAGTGGCCTTCTAGTCGCTTGCAACTCCACTGTTCCAGCAGCCCCTTGGTGCCACCGTGCTCACAAGTACCTATGGGGAGCACTTGAGTGGGACCGTCACCTCCATCACCTATGGTTGGGTGATGGCAGCCCAGCTCCAGCATTTTGGTGAACACCTTTCCTTGCCTTCTTTTTTCCTTTTTTCCCAAGCTGGCTGACTATCAGGTCTGCTTCCCTTCAAAAGTCAATCAGAGAAGACAGTTGTTGGGGCACTCGGAGTCCAGGGATACGGGTTCAAATCCCACTCTGCCACCACGGGATCTCCTGGCTGGCGGTTGGAGTCTCCTGTTCCATCTACCCAACCAAAGGAGCCTTAACTGGATGCTCCTCAGTATATAAAGGGTGCCTCAAAGTAGCTCTGTCCATTCCAGAGGTCATCCCTACAGGAGCAAGGAGAGGGGGCTGTGACCAGGCCCAAGCCCCACGTGAAACTGAACACCTGCATCTTCAGTGCCAGTCTTCAGCAAAGTGCCAGCTGTGCACAGTAGATGGCTCTGCCAGTTCCTAGCAGGCAGTTTAGATAGTGGTGTTTGATCAGGGCTCACAGCAACACTGGACAGTTAGTTCTGGAAGGAGAGCAGCTTCACAGGACTGGCTTTATAAATGCAGCCTGAAGGAAACCCTCCTGAAAGTGAGGACCCACTTGCAGTAGCAGGATGTGGTATCAAATGTCAGGGCAACATCTGGTGCTTCTGCACAGTGGAGCCTCTGTGCTCACCCCACCCTCAGAGGCTGAGAGCCGACGTCAGCCCAGCACAATGATGTGCTAGTGGGAAGATTCCCTTTCTCTCTTGTCCCTGGCCTCCTTTGCCTCAACACTGAAGGTTTGTGCTACTATAACAAAGTACCTAAGACTGGGCAATATGCACAGAACAGAGATTTATGGTCTGGAAGTTTTGGGGGTTGCTGGGATGTGCTACCAAGTACAGGCACCTGCAAAGTTTGTTGGGAGGGACATGGATTCCCATGTCTGGGTTTTCGTTCAGGGAAGCTTCTCTCTGCCTACATCCCCATGCTCTGTGCTAGAAGCTCAGGCGAGGCAAGCATCGGAGGGTGTGACAGGTGTTTCATAAAGTGGGATTTTGTAGTGAGGTGCGTTTGGAAATCCCTGAGCTAAATGAAGGTCCGTGATGATCCCCAAGCCAAGGATGAGGAAGGGCGTGGGTGATCCCTGAGCACAGACTGACAGGGGGATCTGGTGTCATCCTTTTCCTCTTCATTGCCTCCTTGTGGGGGGACTATCTTCTTATGACAACAGAGGCCATCCTCCTCGGTGAAGAGGCAAGAAGTGCATACGCTTTAAAGCAGGTTAGTTTAGATACTAGGAACTATAAGGAGTTTGTGAATTTGGAAGGGACCTGTTGGTAACCTGGACTGTCTCGACACTTGATCTCTTGGAATGTAGCAACAGACTCTTGCTCTCTCATCTGACAGCCGTTGAACCTCTGGTGAACTCTGAGCCTGTCTGACCCTCAGACAATTGCCTCCTGTCTAAAGTATGAGTGAGGTCAACATCCATCATGGAGGATTTTCAGGAACATTAAATGCTCTGCCAGATACCAAGAACCCCAGAGAGCATCTGGCTATTCTGTTGCTGCTGGTGGTCACATTTTTATGAATGAGAATTGTTTTATTTTAAACTGCATTTATTTGAATGGCAGAGTTGGAGTGAATGTGGGGAGAGATCTTTTATCCACTAGTTCATGCTGCAAAAGACCACAATGGCTGGCCAAAACTAGGCCAGTCTGAAGCCAGGAGCTTCTTCTAGGTCTCCCACATAGGTACAGGGGCCCAAGCTGTGAGCCATCCCAGGCACTTCATCAGGGAACTAGATCAGAAGTGAAGCAGCTGGAACTCAAACCAGCACCCATATATGATATCAGAGCTGCAGACAGCCACAGAGCTGGGCCTACCCCTGCTGACCTGAATCCCAGACCTTACTAGAGAAAGCTGTAGCTAACTGACCTTGATTTTGTCGTCTTGTGGCTGATCCTTGTCCATTTTATACCATTAATGCTTGTAAAGTTGAGCAGCTCTTGTCTGAAATCCTGAATACTCTAAAATCTGAAACTTTTTAATTCCGAAATAGAAAATTCCACACCGTAAAAAATATTGAAAAGGTGATGTATCATGACCTCCAGGATGTGCATGTGAAGCAGATAGGAAATATAATAAACTTTGTGTTTAGAATTTGGTCCAGTTCCTAAGGCATCTCATCATGTTTATAAAAATATTCTAAAAATCTGAAACACTTTTGGTTCCAAGTATTACAGATAAAGAATATTTAGCCTGTTGATGATTAAAAAGATCACCAGCACTTTATTAGGCAAATCCTCATGTATTTTTCCAATTCTAATATCTTGCTGTCCTTACTATATTCTCCCTGCCAAGTTCCTCACTAATCACCCTGAAGATTTCTTGATAATGCAGATTCAAGTAAAATAATAATAGCAACAACATGTCTTTTCTAACATTATCAAGTTGTTATCACTTCAAAAATAGCTTTTTATAACCAAAAAATACTTCTGTTAAGCCTCACAGAGACCACAAAACAATAATGTATAGTAGACTTACCAAAAATAATAGGGCAATGGGGAGGCACTGTGGCATGGTGGATTAAGCCACCACCTGGTGTGTCAGCATCCCACATGGGTACTGGTTCAAATCCTGGCTGCTCCTTCTGATCCAACTCAATGCTAATGTGCCCTGGAAAACAGTGGAAAACCGACCAATTGCTTGGGTCCCTGTACCTATATGGGAGACATGGATGCAGCTCTTGGCTCCAGGCTTTGGTCTGATCCACTCTTAGCTATTGTGGCCATTTGAGGCATGAACCAGAAGCTGGAAGATCAAAGATCTCTCATTCTAACCCACCTCCCCCCCATAACTCTGCCTTTGAAATAAATAAAATACATCTTTAAAAATTAGAATAAAAAATAGTAACAGGAGAAAAAAACACTTAGCCAAAAAAGGAAGATTGTAAGAGACGGAGAAAAAAGAAAGATACTATAATAAAACCAGAAAGTGTGTATCAAAATGGAAGTTTTAAGACCTCGCCTATCAGTAGTTATCATAAATGTAAATGAATTAATTCTCCAATTAAAGGATAGAGTAACTAAATAGATTTTAAAAATAAGACTCAATTATATACTGCTTCAAAGACACTTACTTCACCTCTAAGGATGCACATGGCTTGAAAGTGAAATGATAGAACAGAATATTCTATGCAAACAGAACTCAGAAGAAAGCAGATATAGCCATACAAAATAGCTTTTAGATAAAAAGCAGGAAAGAGAAACAAGAAAGATCATTATGAAATGATAACGGATTCTGTCTAGCAGGAGAATAAAAGAGTATCCCTGTTAGGAAGAAGAGTGTCACTTGTCCCTGCTTGAAGATGACATAATTTTATGTATTAAAAACCCCCAAAACTCTACCAACAAATGAGTAAAATTAACAAGTGAATTCAGCAAAGTTGTAGGATTCTAAGTTTATTTTTATACAACAGATTATCAAAAAAAAATCAAATCAAGAGAGCAATCCCATTTCTAATAATTGCAAGAATGAATGAATTAATTAATTATGTAGGAATAAATTTAGCCAAAAAGTTAAAAGATGTCTAAATTGAAAACTCTAATACAATGATAAAATGAATAGAAGAGGTTACAGAGAAATGAAAAGACATCCCATATTCATGGATAGGAAGATTCAATATCATTAAATCCATATCATACTCAAAACACTTTACAGATTAATACAACCCCTATCCACATATCCATGCATTTTTCACAGAACTAAAAACAGATACCATTAAATTTTGTATAAAATCACAAAAGACTCCCCCTGCCAGAAGACATGGCCTTCTTCATTGAAAGAAGAAAGCAGAAGACATTGCAATCGTTGACTTTAGAATATACTATAAAAGTCCAGTAATTAAACGGTGTGGTTGTGATGAAAATGGACACACAGACCAATGGTCAGAATAGAGATGATGGCCGTAAGTACATCTGTCTACATCTGTAGTCCACTGATTTTTGACAAGGGTGCTAAGAACATGCATTGGAAAAATGACAATATTTACTGTAGAAAGTGTTGGGAAGATCACATATGCACTTTGCAGAAGAATGAAGCTAAACCTCTATCTCTCAGTATTGTACAAAAATTAACTTATAATGCATTGAATATCTAA